TGTACCAATTTTGACATTCTGGCAAACAACCATGTGAATTCTGGCTTTGAGGCTCTTGTGACAGATGAAGACTCAGTTAGTGTCTGGTTTGTAACTGCTGCAGTGTTGGACTCAAGCACGCTCTCTCACCAAGAACACAGGAAAAAGAGAGTTTGAGAGCATTAAGAATTCCTGGCTTCCATTATAATCCACATTTGGAAACATCCCATCCCATCCCATCCCATACAAGTACACTCGCATGTGCAGTCAAATGCTCTACAATTGAGATTAACCCTTAAGAATATAGAATATAATACAGACAAAAACAATAAGAGAGTACAGGTATCTATGTAAGTGCATGTATTTTTGTTTGTGTGAGACTTACCACAGCCTGCTTGTATGAATTTGACAGAATGCCATGGACTCTAACTTGGCCATGCCGGATGTCACTCATGTCTACCCATAGTTCCTGTGTGCGCTGGTCTTCTGGGCCAAAGCTACGCCATGTGTAATACTTGCCAGAGTCCTCCTTCCAGACAGAAAAAATACAGCGGATCAGAGGTTCTAATGGTGTGACTGTGTTCAGAGAGTGTGTCATATAGGCATCAAGGTTTCACTTGCACATGGTTAAACCCATATGCTGTCATATACTTCTCCGAGTGAGTGTAAAAGAGTAAATTATAATTTCCAAAAGAGGGCAGTGTTTAACTCCAACTAAAACAAATGGAACATGTGAAAAGCCAAAAACATAATAAATGCCACAAGACATTACGGTCATGAGAAATACTGTGGTGCAGGACTCACCACCATGTGTGTCATGTTGTCTGGCAGGGTGTCGATGGTGAGTCCTCCACCCAGGACCGCCCTGCTCATCCTAACGTGGCTTGAAGATGACCTCTGAGCTCTGTGAGGATGACTGTCACCTCCGGTTGACTCTTCATATGGCTCTGAGATCACACTGTACCAATTTTCTGTCCAAAATAATGAAAATCAGGTTATTATGTTGAGTTGACCATTATGGCATGTGATGATATAAGCAGTCTTTCTTACATGTCAGCTGACGCATTTCAAATGCTAAACCCACTGATTCCCGCACCCTCATTTCAATATAAAAAGAGCCTGGCAACAGTACCATATTGTGTCGGGAAGCATTTCAGATGCCAGTTTTATTCAGACACTTGAATAAATGGTAAATGATGTTTACACTTGCAGCTCGGTTCTCAGCCAATCAGCCAAATGAGAAAATAAAATGTGCTTTTCTTAGCCTTGTCAGTTAAAGCCATTGTTGAATGAAGACAAAAACAATACAAATAACATTTAGTGATGCTCGGAAGGAGCTGTCAAACCATGCAAACAATGTAAACCATATTTGGTAAGCAAACTGGGGTAGGTATACTTTGTTTTAAAGTTTGGGGTGTTTTAATTGATGGTTTGTCTTTTTTTTCAAGCCACATATTCAAAACCACATATTCCTAGCTGATGTTGGGAGCTTATTTTACTGCAGCGCCACAGTGGTTTCCTATTGAGTGTAGAAAAGGTATGTTTGCTGGTTTATTTGGATGTGGATTTGGACATCTTTGTCCTTGTGCAAGCTCAGTCATACAGCTGTACATTCGGAGCCTTACAGGGAAAAATGTCTTGACTGAGCTCCCAAGAGTAATTTCTGTTGTTGGTATTCAAAGCACAGGCAAGTTATATGGAACAGTGTGCAGAAATGTACATCTAA